CATACTCGTTTGTGCAATGTCGTCACTTCCCTCCTTTTCGGTTCAGTGTTGAACAGTGCATACCGAAGTGCACTATTGGAGTGTACTCGGCGAATACCGAAGCTCCGGTATGCGGTATGCGAAACCTCGCTACTTCGCATAGGGCTGCTACACGCGAAACCAGGCGCGTGCAACGCTTCACCTTAACAATAAGCTGGGGTGCAACGCACACGTCAAAGAGACGGGGAGGCACTGCAGCAGTGGAAGTGACATCAGTGAGGAGGTTGCTCTTGATCTTAGTGAGGGTGGACTCAAGAAGATCGATAGAGAGCTCAGTGGGGTGCTACAAGAGAAGTCTGTTACGAGCAGAGGAGAGGCGGTCAGGGAGGCGAGTGACTAACCAGTGGAGGGTGAGCCACATAGGCGGTGGGGCAAGTTCGAGTTGTTTGTCAGTGCAGGTAGCACGAAAGCTAGCGTCAAGAGAGCGGATGTGGGTGACTAGATCGGAGACAGTCTCAAACGAGCCCAAGTCAGGGAACACAAAGGGCATGAGGAGGCGACTAAGCGAGGCAGAGGTAGGAGTGTTATAGAGAGCGACTATAGCGTTGTACATGACCTGAGTCACACTAGGAGAAGTGGATGGCCTCGGTTGGCGGGAGAAGGTCGGTGAGGGCGTTGCAGGCAGCGGCGTCGCGAGACTCCCAGATGTCACACGCCAATAACTGACTATCGTACTCGGCCTGCTGAGCAATGGTGGGAGAAGGCTCAGTGGGCAAAGGACTAGGGGACTGAGGGGCCTGAAGAGCGCTGGACGCGTGAGCATAAAGGTGGGCGTGTCAGAACTAGCTGTAGAAAGTAAGAATGAAGAAAGGAGAGGGTTTGCACTAGCAACAATGGTGGTACAAATAGCTAACCCTAGAAGGGTTGTACTCGCTATAGAGCACCCCACTGCAGGCTAGAGCATAATATTCTGACACACCCCCATAGTCAAAGTGGGGTGTAATCAGCAGAGCAAGCAAAGTAGTACAAGCTCAGGGTGGATCACGATGTCACCACACATTCTGAGCACAAGCAAGAAGCAATAGTTTAAGGTTCACAATTATGAGCAAAGCTAGAGGCAGTCACAGAGGGCAAGTGAGGAGGAGGAGGGCTGGTGAGAGGAGAGTAGATAGGAGGCGACGACTGAAGATGCAGACACACGGGCAACAGACGGCTCTGGTGCGACAACGTGGCTACCGGGAATGAGTGCCCCGGAGTACAGGAGTAACAGGCTCCGCGGCTAATATGCGCGGCAGGAGCAACGGACCCACAGGCGACGGCGCAACCGGCTCTCTGAGCTACCGGGAATGAGTGCCCCGGAGTACAGGCGCTGCGTACGACACGACGGCAACCTCCGCTCAACCTCCCCCAACAGTCCCACACCCCTCGACACACACCCCCTGCTGCACCCCTAGCTCCACTCCCCCTTCACCCCCCTAGGACCACTCCTTCGGCTCCCCACACAACCACCCCCCTGAGCGGCAGCTGCAGCAGTGGGAGACGGAGGAGGAGGAGAAGGAGGGGACGGGGCACACAACCGGCACCCCCACACCCGCCACCCCCACACTCCACATCCCCAAACCCTAAAACGGGTGGGATAGGGGCAGGAGCGCGGGGGACGGCGAGAGGGGGACGGACGAGGCGCGCGCAGGCTGCCCGCGCCGCGCGCTGGCCTGGCGCAGCCCGTACGGGCCGCGCGCGGGCCTGGCGCAGCCCGTACGGGCCGCGCGCGGGTCCCAGGGGCGCTTCGACGGGCGACGGGGGCGTTTTGGCGGGCGACGGGGGGCGCTCCGACGGGCGACGGGGGCGCTTCGACGGGCGACGGGGGGAGGGCGCTTCGACGGGCGACGGGGGGCACTTCGACGGTGGGAAACCGCCGCGCGCCTCGGGGCGCACGGCGGGCAGAAAACCGCCGCGCGCCCCGAGCGCACGGCGGGATGAAAACCGCCGAAACCCTAAAAACGCCGCGCCTTGCGAGCGCGCAGTAGGCAGAAAACGTCGCGCGCCCGAGGCGCGCGATAAGCAGGACAGCAGCGGAAGCATTAGGTGGCGGGCCCACCCACAGGATCGACCCAGGAGGGTCGACCTGCTCTGATAGCATGTCAGAACTAGCTGTAGAAAGTAAGAATGAAGAAAGGAGAGGGTTTGCACTAGCAACAATGGTGGTACAAATAGCTAACCCTAGAAGGGTTGTACTCGCTATAGAGCACCCCACTGCAGGCTAGAGCATAATATTCTGACAGGGCGCCATCATGACGCTGACTCTTAAGGTGGCGCTGTCCTGGGTAAACCACATACGGAATTTGATCAGACGGCCCTTGGCATCGAAACGAACACTCGAGAGGACGCCGTCCTAGGCGCTAAGAATGACTATAGGAAGGGGCGAACGAAGGAACTAGGCTAGGAGTGGTAGGCGGAACACGGCACTACATCGCGAGTTTGTAAAACTCGAAATTTTGGTCACTGTAGGTTTTTCTCCGGAAAAGTCCCAAGAAACCCACACAAAGCTACTAGAGAACCAATCACTGCAGGGCACAATATCAGAATCGACGTACGTATCCATCCACTCACACATCAGCACACAAAGCCTCAAACCACTCTCAACCCCTCATCCCCCCCACCCTCCACCCACCCCCCACCTCGCCGTACAAATTCTCTGCCTCCCACGTTCTCTTCAGCTAGGTCAGATTCCGTTCAAGTCATAATACTCAATTCTCGCAACTCTCTATTTTCTGAAGTTATAGGAAACCCTCCATCGCTCTATGTACCTTTTTCCGGGCGCTCCATAATAAATTATTTTGCCATCGACAACATGTTCCATCCGATACTAGTTTCTATCAGTTTCTGAAGCTAGCTTGCCCTTCCGGTCCCTACACTTCGGGTCCTTTTTCATTTTTCCGTATACCTACTCGCGACTGCATATCTCTCTTCGAATCTACCCCCTCGGCTTCCGCCCTGCTCTCCACCCCCCCCCCCCTGTAGTTAATCTCCGCATGACAAACCGCCGCATGCTTAGCGACGGGAAGCCGCCGCCCGGGCAGTCGCCACCGAGATGGGCTTTGGACGACAGATTCTTTCAGTGACGAGTCGCTACTTGTGTTTATGCCTGTCTTGATTCCACACCAGGCGGTAATCGTAGTTTTGCCTCAGTGAATTGCCCATCTCGTTCTGCATCCATCCCCCTTCGGGTATCAATGGTAATCACAGCATGGCATTCCAATTGGACTACTTGTTCTTCCCCACATCGACAATTTGAGCGGGAGTTTTGTTGATTACAGAATCCCTTTTCGGTAATTCAATCTGCCGATTTCAGGTTCTGGTTCAGGTTTTTTAGCTGCAGCCGAATTGAGCGGTGAGTCTGGTACAATCGAGGTAAAGTCAAGGCTGGTCTTGACCAATAGGAGCGGCTGGTGGTGCTCAAAAGAGCGAGTTTGACTTTTTGTTTTTTGAGCGAACTGGTTTGGTGGTTCCAAGTGTCAAACATTGTATGTTTATATTGTGTAGGCTATAGTGGGTTTAGCCTTAGAGGGTACACAAACTTAGGGTTTCCTACTTGTACCCAACTTCCTGCTAGTTCATTCATTCTCGTTCTATTCTAAGATTCTAACATGGTATCAGAAGCCTAGGTTGCTACCTAGGACCGCTTTCTCCAATGGGCCCACTATTCCGCTAGAAGCGCCCTCGTGCGCCCTACCCTACGTGCGCCCTCGTGCGCCTTTCTCTGCTAGTGCGCCTTCGTGCGCCCTCGTGCGCCCTCGTGCGCCCTCGTGCGCCTTCGTGCGCCCTCGTACGCCCTCGTACGCCCTCGTGCGCCCTCGTGCGCCCTCGAGCCGCCCCTGCAGGTCCGTCAGGCCCCCGAGCCGCCTCTGCAGACCCGTCAGGCCCCCCCCGAGCCGCCTCTGCAGGCCCGTCACGCCCGAGAGCCGCCAATGCAGACTCGTCAGGCCCGCGCACAGCCTCTGCCCGACCGCGCGCCGCCTCTGCAGGCTCTCGCCGCCCACCGCGTCGCCCTGTCCGCGGCGTCGTCGTCGCCTGCCCGCGGCGTCGTCGCCTGCCCGCGACGCAGCCCCTGCCCGCGGCGTCGTCGCCTGCCCGCGACGCAGCCCCTGCCCGCGGCGTCGTCGCCTGCCCACGGCGTCGTCGCCTGCCCGCGGCGTCGTCGCCTGCCCGCGGCGTCGTCGCCTGCCCGCGGCGTCGTCGCCTGCCCGCGGCGTCGTCGCCTGCCCGCGGCGTCGCCACCTGCCCGCTGCGTCGCCACCTGCTCGTCGCGTCGTCCTGCCCGCGGCGTCGCCACCTGCCCGTGGAGCCGCCCCTGGAGCCGCCCGCCACTGTAGCAGCCGCCCCTGGAGCCGCCCGCCACTACAGCAGCCGCCCCTGGAGCCGCCCGCCACTGCAGCAGCAGCCCCTGGAGCCGCCCGCCACTGCAGCAGCAGCCCCTGGAGCCGCCCGCCACTGCAGCAGCAGCCCCTGGAGCCGCCCGCCACTGCAGCAGCCGCCCCTGGAGCCGCCCGCCACTGTAGCAGCCGCCCCTGGAGCCGCCCGCAACTGCAGCAGCAGCCCCTGGAGCCGCCCGCCACTGCAGCGGCCGCCCCTGGAGCCGCCCGCCACTGCAGCAGCCGCCCCTGGAGCCGCCCGCCACTGTAGCAGCCGCCCCTGGAGCAGCCTGCACCTGCAGCAGCCGCCCCTGGAGCAGCCCGCACCTGCAGCAGCCGCCCCAGGCACCTGGAGCAACTGCCGTCGCGGCCCGGCCTCGCCCTGCAGCAGCTGCCGCGGAGCTCCCTGCTGCGGCCTGGCCCCGCCCTGCAGTTGTAGCGGCCCCGCGGTCGCCACCGTCTTGCGCCTGCCACGCCGACCACTGGTGAGCATTGCCCTGCCCGCACTGCTACTGCTGCTACTGCCTTTTCTACTCCCACTGGTACTGCTCCTGCTGTTACTGCTGTTACTGCCGCTACTGCTGCTACTGCTGCTCCTGGCGAGGCCAGATGCAGCTCCAGGGCCGTGCGCGTGAGTCCCTCACGCCCCAGCAGCTTCGTGAGTGGTACGCCAGTTGGGGCTGTCGGGGTGACCGTAGTGGTAGTCGCTCTGGAGTGGGTCGGTCGGGAGCTTCTGGTAGTGGACAGGTGCAGCTGCAGTGTCCTCTTTCACCCCAGCAGCTTCGTGAGTGGTACGCCAGTTGGGGCTGTCGGGGTGGCCGTAGTGGTAGTCGCTCTGGAGTGGGTCGGTCGGGAGCTTCTGGTAGTGGACAGGTGCAGCTGCAGTGTCCTCTTTCACCCCAGCAGCTTCGTGAGTGGTACGCCAGTTTGGGCTGTCGGGGTGGCCGTAGTGGTAGTCGCTCTGGAGTGGGTCGGTCGGGAGCTTCTGGTGATGGACAGGTGCAGCTGCCGTGTCCTGTGAGTGAGGCTGCCGCTCTAGGTGCTAGTGCAGCTGCTACCCCAGGTGCCGGTGAGGCTGCTGCTCTAGGTGCTAGTGAGTCTGCGCCCCCTGGTACTGAGTCGACTGAGGCACTGCACACCTTCACTCTGGACTCCGGTGCTTCTCGCTGTTTCTTTCGTGACCGCACTGCCCTTGAGCCGCTTGCTCGGCCAGTTGCTGTCTCCCTCGCTGACCCCTCTGGGGGTCCGGTCATTGTGACCTCCTCCACTGTCCTTCCTTGTCCTGCGGTCCCGTCGGGCACACTGTCCGGTCTCCACCTCCCCTCGTTCTCTACGAACTTGGTGGCTGGGTGTGCGCTCCAGGACGCGGGTGTTCACCAGTTCACCCCGGCCTACGAGCGCGTGACGCACTGCACGTGTGCCCGTACGGGCCGCCACTTGGCTACCTTCACTCGGCAGCCGGGGTCGGACCTGTACACATTGACCACTGAGTCCCCTCAGGTAGCGGTCGCTGCGTCTGCGTCTGCGTCAGGTCAGCTGTCGGCCCCCTGCTCGTGTCGCTCTCTGGCGCACGAGACTGTCCTCTGGCACCACCGCCTTGGCCACCCGTCTGTGCAGCGCCTTCGGGCCATGCACTCCAGGTACCTTGTCTCTGGTCTTCCCAGGGTCCTCCCTCCTCTCCCTCCCTCGCCTGCTCCTCCCTGTCTTCCCTGTGTCGAGGGGCGGCAGCGCGCCGCTCCTCACTCCTCCTCCTTTCCCCCGACGACTGCTCCCTTGCAGACACTCCACATGGACGTGTGGGGCCCAGCCCGCGTCCGTGGTCAGGGTCAGGAGAGGTACTTCCTGATAGTTGTTGACGACTACTCGCGCTACACCACGGTCTTCCCCTTGCGCACCAAGGGTGAAGTCCCTGATGTTTTGATCCGCAGAGCTCGTCTCCAGCTCAGCGAGCGTTTCCACTCGGACTTTCCTGTCCTGCGCTTGCACTCTGACAGAGGTGGTGAGTTCTCCTCCGACCTCTTGGCAGCCTACTGTGCTGAGCACGGCATTGAGCAGTCGTTCACGCTTCCGGCCTCTCCACAGCAGAATGGGGTTGCGGAGCGTCGCATTGGCCTAGTCATGGAGGTCGCCCGTACCTCCTTGATCCATGCGGCTGCCCCCCATTTCCTGTGGCCGTTTGCGGTCCGGTACACTGCGCATCAGCTCAACCTCTGGCCCCGTGTCTCCATGCCGGAGACCTCGCCCACGCTGCGGTGGACGGGGGAGGTTGGCGATGCGTCGCGTTTCCGGGTCTGGGGATCTCGAGCTTTTGTCCGCGACGCTTCCGCGGACAAGCTCTCCACCCGCGCTGTTCCCTGTGTCTTCCTTGGCTTTGTCCCTGACGCGTCTGGTTGGCAGTTTTACCACGCCACCTCGCGCCGGGTCCTTGCCTCTCAGGACGTCACTTTTGACGAGTCCGTCCCCTACTACCGCCTCTTCCCCTACCGCACTGCCCCACTCCCCCCCCCGCCTCTCTTCCTCGCACCAGGTGCTGCTGTGGTAGACCCCCTCCCCCCTCAGGGTGCCGCTCCCTCAGGTGTGTCCCAGGTAGACCCGGTTGACCCTGTTGAGGTAGCTGTTGACTCTCAACCTGCTGGGGGTGCGGAGCCTGGGGGTGCTGAGCCTGGGGGTGCGGAGCCTGCGGTTGCGGAGCCTGGGGGTGCGGAGTCTGGGGGTACTGAGCCTGGACGTACTGAGCCTGGGGGTGCTGTGCCTGGGGGTGCTGAGCTGCAGAGTTCTGGGTCTGGGAGTGCTGAGTCTGGGGGTGCTGAGCCTGGGAGTCCTGCGCCTGGGGGAGCTCTCTCCTCGGAGCGGCTGCGTGAGTGGTACTCAGAGTACTGCAGCCTCCGGAGAGGTGCCTCTGGGACCAGGAGTGCTGCTGCGACTGGTGCTGGTGCCTCCCCTCCTCAGCGGGAGCTGCCCTCTCTTGAGCGGATCCGCGAGTGGTACGAGCGGCGCTGCACTCTCCGGAGTGGAGCGCCTGGTGTCGCGGACCCTGGTGCTGGAGGTGCTGCTGCTGCTGCTGGAGGCCCTACTCGTACTGCGGACCCTGGAGCTGGAGCTGCTGCTGGTGCTGCGGACCCTGGAGCTGGAGCTGCTGCTGGTGCTGCGGACCCTGACGCTGGAGCTGCTGCTGGTACTGCGGACCCTGGGGTTGGAGCTGCTGCTGGTACTGCGGACCCTGGAGCTGGAGCTGCTGCTGGTGCTGCGGACCCTGGAGCTGGAGCTGCTGCTGGTGCTGCGGACCCTGGAGCTGGAGCTGCTGCTGGTGCTGCGGACCCTGGAGCTGGAGCTGCTGCTGGTGCTGCGGACCCTGGAGCTGGAGCTGCTGCTGGTGCTGCGGAGCCTGGAGCTGGAGCTGCTGCTGGTGCTGCGGACCCTGGAGCTGGAGCTGCTGCTGGTACTGCGGACCCTGGCGCTGGAGCTGCTGCTGGTGCTGCGGACCCTGGAGCTGGTGGAGCTGGAGCTGCCGCGGGTGCTGGTGCCGTCTCTCCTGGTTCTGGAGTCACTGAGCGGCCCCGACCGTACTTCGTTCCGCTTCTCCAGCAGGTTCTTGGTCAGCCTCCTCCTCCTTGTCCTGCTCCCTCCTTAGAGTGTCCTCCGCCTGTCACGTCGCAGTCGCAGTTACCGCCTCCCTCTCCGCTCCCCGGTCCTTCTCCTTACTCTGGTCCCACAGGAGGTCTTACGGAGCGTCGTGAGCCTGAGTCTCGTCCTGTGTCGCCTGCGTCTCGCTCTACGTCGCCTGTCCGTGCTGCTCGCACTGGTCGTCGTGTCCCGCGTGAGCGCCCTCCTCCTGTCCCTGGCACTCACTACATGACTCTGCGTCCCTCCACTGCTCCTCAGCGTGTCCTGCTGCCGTCTCCTCCTGCGTCCTCTCTTCCTGAGCTTCCTGACCCGGAGTCTGACTCCCTTCGTGCTGCCCGTCCTACTGTCACGCGTTTCCTTGCTACTGTTGTCACTGACCCTACCTTTGAGTCCTCTGCTGCGTCTGCTCTCGTTGCTGAGTTAGTTGACTTTGCTGCCGCTTGTCGTCTCGACTACGCCGCTAGCCTAGTTGCTGCGTCTGAGTCTGTCTGTCCTCCGTCCGTCGGGGGTGAGTGTGCTCTTGGCACGGACGTCATTGAGGACAGGCAGGAGGAGTTCCAGTGCTTTGCTGCTGCTTTACCTCATCTCGTGTCCATGCTAGTTGCCCCTGAGGGAGACCCGGATGCACCAGACATCCCGACCCCGCGCTCTTACGCAGAGGCGATAGCGGGTCCCTACTCCTCTCAGTGGCAGACAGCCATGGACGCAGAGATGGCTTCCTGGAAGTCCACAGGCACCTACGTCGACGCTGTTCCCCCACCTGGGGCGAACATCGTCAGTGGCATGTGGATTTTCAGGGTGAAGCGGCCGCCGGGTTCTCCGCCTGTCTTCAAGGCGCGTTACGTTGCTCGAGGCTTCAGCCAGCGTGAGGGAGTCGACTTCTTCCAGACCTTCTCCCCCACCCCGAAGATGACCACTCTTCGGGTGCTGCTGCACATAGCCGCTCACCGTGACTACGAGCTTCACTCTTTTGACTTCAGCACTGCTTTCTTGCAGGGTAGTCTGCACGAGGAGATCTGGCTGCGCCGCCCTCCTGGCTTCACTGGGTCGTTTCCTCCTGGTACCCAGTGGAGCCTCCGCCGGCCGGTCTACGGTCTCCGCCAGGCACCACGTGAGTGGCACGACACACTGAGGACGACACTTGCGGCACTTGGGTTCGCGCCTTCTACTGCTGACCCGTCGCTGTTTCTGCACACCGACACTTCGCTGCCACCGTTCTACATCCTCGTGTACGTCGACGACTTGGTCTTTGCCACTGCTGACACTCAGGCTCTCGCCCACGTGAAGTCGGAGTTGCAGAAGAGACACACGTGCACAGACCTGGGTGAACTGACAAGCTACCTTGGCTTGCGGATCACCTGGGACAGAGCACGGCGCACCATTACCCTGACTCAGTCACACATGGTGCAGCAGGTCCTTCAGCGCTTCGGCTTCACGTACTCCTCGCCTCAGTCCACTCCTCTGCCTACCGGTCACTCGCTCTCAGCTCTGCCTTCGGATGAGTCCGTAGAGCCGAGTGGCCCGTATCCAGAGCTTGTGGGCTGCCTCATGTACCTGATGACCTGCACTCGTCCTGACCTTGCATACCCTCTTAGCATCCTTGCACGCTATGTCGCTCCTGGCCGTCACCGGAAGGAGCACATGGATGCCGCTAAGAGGGTGTTGCGCTACTTGTGCAGTACGTCAGGCATGGGGCTAGTGCTTGGAGGGCGAGACCGAGTTGTTCTCACTGGACACTCAGACGCTTCTTGGGCGGACGACCAGGCCACTCAGCGGTCGTCTCAGGGTTACACCTTCAGCCTTGGCTCCGGTTCAGTTTCTTGGCGTTCTACACGTTCTTCTTCAGTTCTCAGCTCCAGTTGTGAGGCTGAGATCTACGCCACAGCCATGGCGGCCCAGGAGCTACGCTGGCTCACCTACCTTCTGACCGACTTGGGAGAGCGGCCTCGTTCTCCTCCAGTGCTGTACGTCGACAACAAGGCTGCCATTGCCTTGTGTGAGGAGCACAGACTGGAGCACAGAACGAAGCACATCGCTCTCCGCTACTTTCTGGCTCGTGAGCTGCAGCAGCGTGGTCAGCTTTGTCTGCGTTACGTGGCCACTGAGGCCAACACTGCTGACGTGTTCACCAAGGCGCTTCAGCCTTGTGACCATCAGCGCTTTTGTACTCTTCTAGGCCTTGTGCCTACTGGACCTCACTTGCTTACTTCGTGACTTTGTTTGTACTGTGATCTCTATATATATACCTGCATGCTTTCACTTGCTAGGTTGTGATCACTGTACCTCTTGTTATATTATGAAACTGCATGTGAACTGGTCTTGTGACCACTTGCTTGTGCTCGGAATTTGTGTGGTATCCTTGAGATCCACCCTGAGCTTGTTTTGCCTTGCTTTGCTTTGACTGGTCTTGTGACCCTCTGGTTGTCCCCCACTTCGCCTATGGGGGTGTGTCAAACATTGTATGTTTATATTGTGTAGGCTATAGTGGGTTTAGCCTTAGAGGGTACACAAACTTAGGGTTTCCTACTTGTACCCAACTTCCTGCTATTCTAAGATTCTAACACCAAGTGGCTGCTGTTTGATATGGCAGTTGCACATGAGTTCGAGCGAGTAGCTGCTCGAATCGCCACTGTTCAAGGAGCAAGATTGGTTCTTGCTCGTGCAGCGTGTTTATTAGCGTGTTCGTTAGCATGTTCATTAGCGTGTTTGTTAGCGAGCTCAGTAACGCGAGCGTCATATGCTCGCGAATCGTTTTTCAGTGCAGGTGGGGAGATCAGCGAGATTTCGAGTAAGTTCGGTTGCTCACGTTTTTTAGCAGCATTGACAGTTCAGATCAAAAGGAAGTTCGGAACGAGGGCACGTGGCGAGTAGCAGTTGAGCGATCGAAAGCTCTGTTGATCGCCATCGACATTTTGACTCGTTCAGGTTTACGAACAGACTTCATCGCGACCGTTCGAGATTAGCGCGGAGTGAAATTCTCGGATCGGCACCGTCAACATTGTTCGCGCGCGAAAGACGAAATATTTCGGCGACGCATCGAGTGTGCGCCAGGTCACGAAGGGAATGGGAGGGAACCTAAAAATCTGTTCGCGCTGCGAGGCGTGAACTTGAAACACCTAGATCAAGGTAGGAGGACAATGATTTAGCTTAGTATAAAACTGTTTATTCTTGTCTGTTTTCAATACACCTTGAGTGGAAAATTATCCCCTGCGCTTGATGCAAGAACGCTGCCATAGTTTGTCGTTTTTACAACACCAAGGAAGCGACGGTTGCTACTACACTTTAGCTGTTGCTACAACTCTCTCTCTACACACTCGGACCCTTGGATAGGGGCTGACCTCGGTCAGGCACCCAAGGACCCTTGGAGGTGACCCCGAAGAGAGAGTTCTAGTGTCAACTAAAGGCCGCTAGTAGCCAATTTAGTACGTATCTTTTGTAACACCCACATCCGCGCCCCCCTTCCCCCTTCTCATATGTTCCCCCTCCCTGTTGTCCCCCTTTCCCGTCCCTTTTTGGCCTAACCTCTCCGCTCCCCTCGTTTCTTTCTCTGCCCCCTATTGATCTTTATTCTCCGCGCGCAGAAACGGCGCAAGCCCGCAGATGATAACCTGATGATGCGCGGCGCCATGGCGGAAGGAATCGCGCAAGTCGTCTACACGAGGTGAGCGGTGCCACTATATTACCGCCACTCGCGGAAAAGCATTTCGTTTCCGATGTTATCACCTCAGCCTAGTTATCAATTGTTCCCACCCTCGTTTTTTCACTCGTTCGCCTCACCCATCTCACCCATCTCTCCCTTCTCCACCCAATTTTATATCTTTCCTCCCGCCTCGGCCAATCGCAGCATCAGCAGGCCCGGCACCGCGGGCCGCCAAGCCTTGGGTTTTTCTGTCAAACATATGTGCTGCATACTGTCTAGGCTGTAGTGGGGTAGCCCATATGGGGTACAACCCAAATTAGGGTTTACTACTTGTACTCCTGCATGCTGCTAGTTCACTCATTCCTGCCTGTTCATTCTGACATGGTATCAGAGCAGGTCCTTTGCTAGGACCGCTCCTAGGGCCCACCGCTACCTACCTACCTACCTACCGTGCGCCCTCGTGCGCCCTCGTGCGCCCTCGTGCGCCTCTCACTACCGAGCGCCCTCGTGCGCCTTCGCGCCCTCGTGCGCCCCTACCTACCGCGCGCCCTCGTGCGCCTTAGCGCCCTCGTGCGCCTCTACCTACCGCGCGCCCTCGTGCGCCTTAGCGCCCTCGTGCGCCTCTACCTACCGCGCGCACGCAGCCCGCTAGCCACCCGCGCGCGGCTCGTTTTTTAACGCGCGCGACTCGCTAGCCGCCCGTGCGCGGCCGATTTTTCGCGCGCGCGCCTCGCTAGCCGCCCGCGCGCGGCCGATTCTTCGCGCGCGTGACCCGCTAGCCGCCCGCGCGCGATCCCTCAGCCGCCCCTTCGCGGCTTCGACTTCGTCTGCAGCAGCTGCCGCCACCGAACCTGCAGCAGCAGCCGCCGCCGACCTGCAGCAGCTGCCGCCGCCGAGCCTGCAGCAGCAGCCGCCGCCGACCTGCAGCAGCTGCCGCCGCCGAGCCTGCAGCAGCAGCCGCCGCTCGACCTGCAGCAGCTGCCGCCGCCGAGCCTGCAGCAGCAGCCGCCGCTCGACCTGCAGCAGCTGCCGCCGCCGAGCTTGCAGCAGCAGCCGCCGCTCGACCTGCAGCAGCTGCAGCAGCCGAGCCTGCAGCAGCAGCCGCCGCCGACCCTGCAGCAGCAGCCGCCGCCGAGCCTACAGCAGCGGCCGCCGCCGAGCCTGCAGCAGCAGCCGCCGCTCGACCTGCAGCAGCTGCCGCCGCCGAGCTTGCAGCAGCAGCCGCCACTTGCAGCAGCTGCAGCAGCCGAGCCTGCAGCAGCAGCCGCCGCCGACCCTGCAGCAGCAGCCGCCGCCGAGCCTACAGCAGCGGCCGCCGCCGACCCTGCAGCAGCAGCCGCCGCTCGACCTGCAGCAGCTGCCGCCGCCGAGCCTGCAGCAGCAGCCGCCGCTCGACCTGCAGCAGCTGCCGCCGCCGAGCTTGCAGCAGCAGCCGCCGCTCGACCTGCAGCAGCTGCAGCAGCCGAGCCTGCAGCAGCAGCCGCCACCGACCCTGCAGCAGCAGCTGCCGCCGAGCCTACAGCAGCGGCCGCCGCCGACCCTACAGCAGCAGCCGCCGCTCGACCTGCAGCAGCTGCCGCCGCCGAGCCTACAGCAGCGGCCGCCACAGACCCTGCAGCAGCTGCCGCGGAGCTCCCTGCTACGACCTGGCCCCGCCCCGCTGTTGCAGCGGCCACGCTGTCGCCACTGTCTTGCGCCCGCCGCACCAACCACTGGTGAGCTTTGCCGTGCTAGCACTGCTACCGTTACTGCTGCTGCTACTGCCTTTACTGCTCCTGCTGTTGCTGCCGCTACTGCTGCTGCTCCTGACGTGGCCAGATGCAGCTCCAGCAGGCTCGTGAGTGGTACGCCGGCTTGGGCAGTCGGGGTGGCCGTAGTGGTAGTCGCTCTGGAGTGCGTCGTTCGGGAGCCTCTGGTAGTAGACCGGTGCAGCAGACGTGCCCTCTTCTGCTCCAGCAGGCTCGTGAGTGGTACGCCGGTTTGGGCAGTCGGGGTGGCCGGCGTGGTAGTCGCTCTGGCGTGCGTCGTTCGGGAGCCCCTGGTAGTGGACAGGTGCAGCAGCCGTGCCCTCTTCTGGTCCAGCAGGCTCGTGAGTGGTACGCCGGTTTGAGCAGTCGGGGTGGCCGTAGTGGTAGTCGCTCTGGCGTCCGTCGTTCGGGAGCCTCAGGTAGTGGACAGGTGCAGCAGCCGTGCCCTCTTCTGCTCCAGCAGGCTCGTGAGTGGTACGCAGGTTTGAGCAGTCGGGGTGGCCGTAGTGGTAGTCGCTCTGTGAGTGAGGCAGCCGCTCTCGGTGCCAGTACGTCTGTTGCCCTCGGTGCAGGTGAGGCTACCACTCCCGGTACTCGCGTGTCTGCTACTCCAGGTGCTGGTGAGCCTACTACTCTAGGTGCTAGTGCGTCTGCTGCTCCAGGTGCTCGCGTGTCTGCTACCCCAGGTGATGGTGAGGCTGCTGCCCTAGGTGCTAGTGCGTCTGTGCCCCCTGGTACTGAGTCGACTGCAGCACTGCACACCTTCACCCTGGACTCAGGTGCTTCTCGCTCTTTCTTTCGTGACCGCACTGTCCTTGAGCCACTCGCTCGGCCAGTTGCTGTCTCCCTTGCTGACCCCTCTGGGGGTCCGGTCATTGCGACCTCCTCCACTGTCCTTCCTTGTCCTGCGGTCCCGTCCGGCACGCTGTCAGGTCTCTACCTCCCCTCGTTCTCTACGAACTTGGTGGCGGGTTGTGCGCTCCAGGACTCGGGTGTTCACCAGTTCACCCCTGCCTACGAGCGCGTGACACACTGCACGTGTGCTCGGACGGGTCGCCACCTGGCTACTTTCACTCGAGAGCCGGGGTCGGACCTGTACACACTGACCACTGAGTCCCCTCAGGTAGCTGCGTCTGCGTCTACGTCTGCGTCAGGTCAGCTGTCCGCCCCCTGCTCGTGTCGCTCTCTGGCGCATGAGACTGTCCTTTGGCACCACCGCCTTGGTCACCCGTCTGTGCAGCGCCTTCGGGCCATGCACAAACGGGACCTTGTTGCTGGTCTTCCCAGGGTGCTCCCTCCCCTTCCCGACTCACCTGCTCCTCCCTGTCTTCCCTGTGTCGAGGGGTGGCAGCGCGCCGCTCCTCACTCCTCCTCCTTTCCCCCGACGACTGCTCCTTTGCAGACACTCCACATGGACGTGTGGGGCCCAGCCCGCGTCCGTGGTCAGGGTCAGGAGAGGTACTTCCTGATTGTTGTTGACGACTTCTCGCGCTACACCACGGTCTTCCCCTTGCGCACCAAGGGTGACGTCCCTGATGTCTTGATCCCTTGGATCCGCAGATCTCGTCTCCAGCTTAGTGAGCGTTTCCGCTCCGACTTCCCTGTCCTGCGTCTGCACTCTGACAGAGGTGGAGAGTTTTCCTCTGGCCTCTTGGAGGCCTTCTGTCAGCAGGAGGGCATTGAGCAGTCGTTCACGCTTCCGGCCTCTCCACAGCAGAATGGGGTTGCTGAGCGCCGCATTGGCTTGGTCATGGAGGTCGCTCGTACCTCCTTGGTTCATGCGGCTGCCCCCCACTTTCTGTGGCCGTTTGCAGTCCGATACGCTG